GCTTAAGTTCTATTCTATTGAAATACCCCAAAACCCCAAAACCCCAAAACCCCATATAACCAAATTTAAAATTAGAAATATCTAATCGATAAAATCAATTATGATGTTTTAAGTTTATAACTGAGGAAGCTCTTCTTATCTCTGATTAAAAGAAAGGGAAATAGCAAATCTTAATATCACCAGCAATACTCCCACTTACCAAGAAATTCTCATTTAAATCGAGTTCATATATGATTGAATGTACTCCACAAGCAATTTTATAGCTTTTATTGTGATCATTGCTTGACTTATTAAAATCATAGACGCAAAACTTGTTCATAGGATCAATAGATACGCCAACTCTGTTTAATACTCCTTTACCGGTAGTGAAGCTAGATATAGGATAGTCATGAAATCCATAACTATCGACACTTTGATTTTTCCTAATATCAAATTTGTGCACATTTTCCCCTCCTCTGAAACTTACTATCAATTCTTTCTCATCTTCATAATACTTCATTACGCTCTTAAATGAAAAAGCGTCATGAGATATTATTTCTCTAGGTTCATTAACATCTTCTCTAAATTCATTAGTTTATTTATTAGATCTTAGATCCCATATTCTAATGCGCTTCTAATCAGAAGTGATAAGTAAATTGTCTTAAGTTAGAAGAAAATCACCTATTTCATGCATGAAAGTATTATTTCCTTGAGTCACATTACTTATCATACTATTTCTTAGAGCATCATTTGAAATTTAACAAACTTAAGAGAATCCAGGACTATGGTAATCTCTGATGCTAATTTAATTGGAATCGGGAGAATAGGATGCAAGCAGTCTCTGATTATGCTTCATATATCTTATGGAGCTTTCTTGGTGATCGCTAAATTAGGCCAGTTTCTTTGGCTTCCTTAGATTAGAAAAATCCCAAAGAATTGCAGTCCCATCTGACGAAAAGCTATAGTGAATCTTTTACTTTTCTTCAGGATTACCATCTCTTAATTCAATACTATCTATTCCGTTAATACATGATAGGTGGTCTTTAATTGTTGATTAGAGTTCATAATTCTTTGTCTTTGCATTGTACTCCCACAGACATAAAAATCTCTCAGTACCAGCTGTAACTAAACTCTTTCCATCTTATCTGTTTATAAACTGAACCTTTTATATCCAATTTTTATGAGCTCCTTCAAGTTTATAGGACTTCATCTTGATAAAATCCCAAACTCTTACAGTTTTATCTTTACTGCCACTTGCTACTACGCCAATATTCAAACTGTCTAAGCATGTGATAGCTTGATCGTGCCCTATCAAGTTAAACTGCTGAAATAGCTTTCTCTCGCATATGTTTCTCCTAGTAACCTACTCCCTCAAAAAGTACAGACGCTTCTTACTCACAATAAACTGCTAATCATCTAGAATACCAGGGTTAGTTCCATTATTTTAGTGCTAATCTTAGATCAACTTAATTATTTCTTAGTTCTTATGAAGTGGTATATATCTCTCCCAAGTACCTGGCTCATTTGAAGCTTGATACATTGTCCTGCAGATCCTCATTGCATGGAAAATCTCCTTAGGGCTTAAAAATTCATAGATTATGACCTTCAAATACTTTGAAATATTTGGTAATGTCTTGGATTAAGATGTTAAGTTTCTTTGAATTATTTCAGATCTTTCCTTTTTGCTCAAGGACTTGAGGCTTGACTTGATAGAGTTAGCAATGGCGGTGTATGGCCGTTTTTAAGACTCAGTTCCTTCAAGATGTAAATTTTGTAATTACTTTTTTTGCATTAATATTTTATTGATTTTTCACACACAAGAATTATACTTGTATTTCCTAGAATTAATTAAGTTATTAATCTCTTGGGGTTTTGGGGTTTTGGGG